CCAGGACAGAAGATTCGGGTACGTTTCCTCCAAGGAGTCCCGAATCGGCAGTAGTCCACGACCAGCATCCCGGCCTGTCCGTGCTTAGCCAGCAGGGCTTTCCAGCGAGGGGTGTGCCACAGGTAGCTGCCATGCGGATTCTCGGCCCAAGCTGGGATGCCTCGCTCGAGCCCGGCCTCGACAGCATCGCACATGAACTCGGACAGGGCGTTCCCGTCCTTNNTTCGAAGGTCAGGTAGCCCAAGTGGCCAGGCCTTGCTTCTCACAGGGGGTCTGATCGCCTTGCTAAAAGAAGAGCACACTGGACCACCGCCCAGTCCCCGAAAAGCTCCGGCTTTGATGAGGGTCAAAATACGTTCTTGGAGCGGACGATGCAAGAGGTTCTCCTCAGCGCCCCGGCACAAATCAAAGCTCAAGACCCAAAGCCCGGAAGCGTTGGCAGCAGCACGAGCGACTCCGAGGCTTCCCGAAAAGAGGTCTAGAAACCCCGAAGCGCTCAGCATCTCGTCCAGAGGTGTCTTGCAGCCTTTCGGCAAGATAAACTGCTCGCGGTCGAAGGTCAGCAGCAGGCATTTGATGTCAGCCCAAGAACTTACTGAGTCGGGCACAGCGGAGGCCCGCTCTAACGAGCGCAACTTCTCATCCTTGTTGACGGCAGCGGCTGCGGCAAACTTCTTGGCGCCCGTCTCAGGCGGGACCCCCCTTTTTAGGGGGCTAGGCGTCAGGGGGTCTGACTTGCATCGCGCAAGAGCCCCTCGTGGCGTGCACAAAATCGAAGAAGCAGAGGAACTTCTTGGCGAATCAGTCGAAGGCGGTCGCCCTTGATGACGAGGTCGTGTCCTTTTTTCCAGCATCCATTTTCTCCGGCGGTCACGGCGGCACAGAGCAGTTTCTGGACCCAACGCCCGGCGGATGCTGGTCAGAGGGGGCAACCCGAGCAAGGAGACAAAGTCGAGTTCTTGGGACAGCAGTTCGTCATCGAGCGGCCCGGTATTGCCACGGAGCAACTCACCCAGGTAGAAGGGCATGTCGTAGCTGGGCTCTCTGATCCTGCGGTCCCTTGTCCCATCATCTGATGGGTTATTCTCGCTGGCGATGTACATATAGGCACCGAAGATGTCCAAAGCCAAGAGGTCCGGCAAAGAAGCCCGCAAAACTCCGTTGAGTCGAGGTGACGCTGACCTCCCCTTCAGCAGGCAACCTAATGAGACTTGGCTGTCGGCGCCCGTCAGCAGGCGAGCACCTGGAAGTCGACGTCCGCGCCGAGACTCACTAATGAGGATGGCTCGGAGTTCATGGACATTGATGTGCCTCTTTCTCTTGATCTTCTGGCGCCAGCTCGACCGGAACCTAAGACAACAGAAGATGTCGCGCCACAGGAAGTGGTAAGGCAGCTCCTCTTCGCCAGGAAGTTCCTCAGCAGGTTCAAGGAGACCGGCTTCTCGAAGGGCAGCCAAGTCTCGTCGAAGCAAGCGAGTCCAAACCGGTTTCCGCAAGACGTGCCTCCAAAGCTCATCGGCCATCTCCTTTGGAACCTCAGTGACGACTTCGGCTTCCCACTCGTCGGAGGCGTCAGTGGCGGAGACTTCGGCGCAGGTCCGAGTCCGGAAGTTCCAGCGAACAATGGGCGCGATGACGACCAAGCTCCAAAGCTCGGCGACTAGCCGCGGCCAGAACCGAAAGGTGACATGCTCGCCGATGTCCCTGGGAGCCCTAAAGACCTCCTCCAGCAAAGCCATGCATCTCCGTCTGAACTGGAACACCGAAATGAAGAAGCCCGCGATGACCTCGAGAAGGTAGCGGGTACCATAGCCAAGCTTTGCGACTGCGGCGGTGAGGGACAACACAGGCAGAAGCCTCGACACAGTAGGCCGGCTTGTTCCCTCATCTCCGTCAACGGCAGCGCCCCAGAATTCGGCTCGAAGTTGTTCCCTGAACGTTTTCCTCAGGTTCTGGGGCAGCCGCACCTCCTCGTACTTGCGCTCAGCGAACTGGAGCCGTCTGGCCCCTTCTGACTTGCCATGGGCACCCTGCTCGAACTCGCTCCGCGGCATACGTTCGGCGATGACGAGGTCGTCGATCACTACCCCACCCTGGATCTTTGAGCGAGACGGCTGGCTCTTCATCGTCAGCAGCTCATGCTCCAAAACGCAGCCAGCATTCAGGACCAGGGACAGGTGAGCGCACTGGCCAAACTCAACGGAGTTCAGGTCGCCCATGGCCATCGAAGCGAAACAAGCCCTAAACGGACCAAGCCCAGCAAACTCCTCCTCGAAGCACGTGTACATCCGGGCCTCGCCCTCAGGGATCTCGAGCGCCAAGGCGTTCCGCACGATGCGCTGGTCAGAGACGCGGTATTGGTAATAATAATCGCGTAGGTCCGTCCCGCTGAACACCAGGACCTCCTCAGGGGCTAGGATCGTCCCAAACAGCGAGACGGCATTTGCCATGCTTCTTGTCCACGCAGTCCGCCCAAGCTCGAGACCGTTCGGGCCTCTGGCATCAAGGATCAGGCGATCTTTCTCCAGGCTTTTTGGCACGCAAAACATCCCGTTAACATGACGTTCTCGGCAGAGCTGAGAAGGACGAAGTCGGAGCCGCCCGCTTTGGTCCAGTTTGGCCAGTAGCCTCCCGCGCTCGGCCGGAGAAGCCAAAACACGGGCTCGTGGAGGGTCGACCTCCGCGTCCTGCTCAGCAATCGCAAAGTCGAAGGGGTGCAGGTAGTGGTCCGCGCAGTCAGCGTCCAGGAACTCCACCGGGTCGAAAGCTGCAGCGCCGCCAAAGTCAATCCGGCTGGCAACAACCGGCTGAGCTACGGTGCTGATTTTCGAACCGCCCGCCACGGACTCGCCAAAGTCAAGCTCCACGGGGTCGAAGCGAGGAACGCAGCCGGGGCCGTCATGGTATCCATGATGGTTGGCGGCCAGGGCGGCTCCTTGTTTTTGTAGCGCAGCGACCATCTTCTCCAGGCCCTCGATCTTCGCAGCAACTCGGCCCATGTCAGCAGCAACCACTGCCGGGTGACTGACAACTTCACTCAGCATGGCCTCCAGTCGTCTGACTGCCGCCCGTTGTTCTCCTCGAAGAGGAGCAGGTTGACAAAGCTCGGCGGGAGCACGATGCGGTCGTCCAAGATGCAGCCAGTTTAGCAAAGCAACCACCAGGTCCACAGCGTTTCGCAGAGCTCGAACACCCCCATCCAAAGAGGCAGCTCTAAAGCGGTAAGGCAGCGGCATCGGCCAAAGTGATGCTGAGGTAGTCCCAACATCTGAGGTATGCGAGGCGTCTTCTTGAGCAGGCATCGAAGAAAACATGCAAAGGAATTATTGCTTCGAAGAATCAAGCGAGGAAGTGAGGCCCAAAAGTTCACGGGGTCAACAGTTGAAGCCGACTCACCCGGTAATCGTTGTGAATGTCGTGCGGCCTCTTCCTCCAAAGCACCGGTGTTAAGGGCCCCGGCTGCCCCCAAAAATTTGTTCACTCCGTCTTGGCAGCCTCTGCTGCCTGCTTCTTCCCTTTCTTTCCTTCTCCTTTCCTGCCTCCCCCGCTGGGCCGCTCCGTCTCGGTCTGGTCCGCGGTCACGCCGTCTTGGCGTCGGTTGGGCGGTCCGCCCTGCATGCTCCCCAACTTCTTGCGGGTGTCGAGGTAGGCGTCGAGCTGCTTGAGGTGCGTGGTCAGGACCTCGATCCACCGGCGATCGTAAAGGCGACTGAAGGGCTGCTCGCTTCCGCTGGGCAGAGTATGAGCCACAAAAGCCTGAAATGGCGGAGGCTCTTCTAGCACCATTTCCGAGGCCAATGTCCAAGAACCTTTGTCGATCGACAGTTGGTCTGCGGCAGCCAGACTGAGGAGGCAACGAAGGTACGCCTCCTGGGTCTTCCCCGCCTTGATGCAGTCGGCAACACCTGCCAGCATCCAGCAAAAGCGTATCGTGCTGGGGTAGCTCTGGACGCGGCTCCGCAATTCCAGCCAAGCCCGGCAGCTCACTGGAGTTGCAGAAGTGCCCGGCAACGTCGTCCGCATGTTGAAGTCGGCCTCTAGGTTGCGTTCCAAGACCTGGATCAACTCGTCCGGCTTTGTCTGGACACGATCCCGAAGAGCACGAAGTGCAGCTGCATTGCGAGCGGCCAATCCTCCTCCGGCAGACCCCTCGGCAGAGCCAGACCCGCCCATGTCGAGGAGCGCGTCGAGCGAACCGTCCTTCTTCTTCTGGGAGGCCAGCTGTCCAGCTATTTCCGTGAGCTTGCTGACCGCAACTTCGATGGGGTTCAAGGCGGTCGCTGGCTCCAAGTCCTTGTCGGGCACCGTCTCTGGAAAGGAGTCCTCGTCGCCCAAGTCGTCCGCCGCCCGCGCCTTTGGGGTCCTGCGAGCTCCAGCTCCTGGCATGTCTCCTAGTCGTCCTCCTTGCTTGCGCAGCAGCTTCGACATCTCCTCCAAGTGGTTCGGCTCGATGCCCGCGTCCAAAGCCGCCTGCGTGACTGCCGGGTCGAGCCCGTGGAACTTCTTGAACTCGGTCTCCGCCGCTCGTGGCATAGCTGGTCGTCGACTGCTCGTGACAGGTGCCGCCGAGGTTTTCAGTCGAGGGGAGCTTTCCTTTGCTGCGCCAACAGCGCCTAGCACTTTGGCAAGGTCTTGCCGCATCTCCTGAAAACATGCCTTGAGAGTAGCGATGCGGTCGCCGACAGGGTCTCCAGATTGGGCCCCGGCAGCAGGATGTCCAACCGACGCAGCGGACTCGGCCGTCACAAACTCGAAGAGACCTCGGGACGCGTCCAGGACGGACGGGCCGAAAGGCAAGGCGTCGCTGGCTTCCTCAGGGCCAAAGGTGTGAGCGAGCTCGACAGGATCCTCCAAGTCACGCACGAAATCGGTGGCCGCCTCGCCGTCCTCCGTCAAGATCCCGAACCACACTCTGCAGTCCCCTTCCAAAGGGGTTTCTCGGGCGTCAGGACCGACTAGTCGAACCCGGCCAGCACAAAGCTTTCGTGCGAAGTTCCTCGGGAGAACACGACGAGCAGCGGTTCGATGCCAGACTGAGTTCGGAACAGCGAAGATGACCTCGTCACTGGCAGAGATGCCGACCAACACGGCCGCGATCAGCAAGGGAGAACCTTCAGGTACAGGAACAGCAATGGCGGCTAGGGGGTAGAGCAGATCGGCCTCACCCCCAGCAGTGGCAACCAGATTAGATCTAAGGGAGGCTACGTGGTCGCCACCGTAGTCCTCCCCCTCTGTGTCTCCCTCAGGCATTTGGCCAGCGGACGCTCGTGCGCCCAGTCGCCCTGCGCGCCTCCCACTCGGATGGGAAGCCCAAGAAGATCAGGTCCCCGGGGTCGTTAGTCCGAGGGAAGATGGAACGAAGGTCACGAAGACGATGAAAAACTCTCACCTCTGTCAAAGGCTGGCCGTTCCCGTCCGAGAAGACCACGTAGATACGGCTCCGCAGCCGCAGCCGGTCCCTCCCAGATTGGCCCCTGTGGCCGCCCTGCAATGCCCGGTCCACCCAATCTCCGAGTTGGTCAGCAAGGCTTTCTCGAGCTTCCCTAGAGTGAGGGACCTCCAACGGGGACTCTGTAGTCCCGGGCCCGTGGCCCAGCAAGGGGTCTTGGCGAGCTGCCTCCTGGGGGTCCTCAACAAGGATGGTGCTGCCTCCGTTGGATGTCGCGTCAGGCTGTTGACTCTCCAGGGCACTGACCCTCAAAGTCAGGCGGGCCACTTGGTCAGCCAAGGCTCGGACTTCAGCAACCAGATCCGATGAACTGCTCATCCACGTTTTAGGTGGAGGGAAGCCACTCGGTCTCTGACCTCCACCGTCAGACGCTGCTTTAGAAGGTACAGCAGGTCCAGGAGGCCACCAACGACAATCCCGATCAAGATGCCCAGCAGGAGCCCGATCACAAAGAGCCGCTGCCCCTCTCCTTCAGGACAGTCCGGAAGGAACCGATCAAAGACAGGCACTGGTTCTGGAGAGGACCTAAGGAACTGTTGACTAAGAAAAGTAAGAACCAGGGAGCTTAGCGACCCTGCACCAGCCCCTATTGCAAGAGGTCGGCTCATCCACTCTGAGCCCTGGCAGCTGCAGCGGTCGTTCAGGCTTCACTCGCATGAGAACATACACGATTCTAGAGGTGTACAGCGTTTAGGGTTCACGGATACTGGAGCATCAAATAGAAACGAAAACCGGGATGAATCGAAACTAGATTATGTAAGGGCTTATAGGACTTGAAACCCCAAGATGATAACCGGCCCTGGGTTGTGAGATTACATGATAAAGCGAGAAAGCACTATTATATAACATTAGCGGCATACTGGAAAGCAAATGAACAACTACTGAGATGTAATGGTAATTGACGGAGGTGATAAGAAAATGGCAACGCCTAAAATGTATGATAGAAAAGAACATGCAAACTATCCATTGTCAATGGAAACTGAAGCTACAGCGTGCTATTTCATGATCCGCAATCCCTAGCCAGAGGCCTCGTCTGATTCAAGGGATGAGGACCACTGAAAAAGCAAACAGTCCTGCCCTGCTTGGTCTTCTTCTGCTTCTTTCGGGCGTTCGAAAAGAGAGCTTTTTAATACTACCATATGCCTCATGACGGGATTCACCCAAAAAAGGAGCCCTATGTTTTTGAAACCCCAATTTGCTGTGCTCTGTTTTCCTGGGGGCTGGAGCTGTCTTACGGAAATCTTGGAGAGGGGCAGTGCCAAGAGGCAAAGCGACGACGCAAGAGCTAGCCATCTGAGGCGTGCACTCTCCTTCTTCAGCAGATGCAGAGTTCTGCGCAGGGAGAGTTTTCCAGCTTCTAACATCAGCAAATTCGACAACTTCCCCGAAGTTCGGCACAGTTATACCAGGGCGGATGCATGACGTTGCTCACTCTTCTCCCTCCGATATGCTTTTGAGGACCAGCCTAATCAAATTCTCAAGGCAGCAGTATTGAGCGCTTCTGTTCCAGCATGGGACCAGCCAGCACGCACTGGTGAAAGCTGCAACTATCACATGTCAATCTAACCGACACACGTCACGATGATAGCGCTCCAAATACGATAGCGATCAGTAGCAACACTAGATGCTTGTTAGAGTAGTGTAGCAGCAGCAGCAGCAGCAGCTGCAGCCGCAGGCGTAGCCGTTTCAGCGGAAGACACCCTCTTGTCTAAGGCAACCAGCTCCCTTTTAAGCCGCATCTCAGCTTCCACGATCGCGGCTCGATACATCACGCAGAACCACGCAGCAACCTCACCCACTAAATATATCTTTCATGTTCCTTGAAGAACATGGCACGATGTGGGTGCTATGTTGCACGTGGTCACGCTGTGCGCCACACCACAAGCATTGCGGTGTACACCCAGGTCCACAACTGCTGCAGCGGCAGCGTCAACCTATCTAATCAAAAGCTGTGTTCAACCAACTGCGACTGCCTTGGCTGCAATAGCTGGGGCATCCCAGGCCAGCATTCGTTGAATGGAGCGATAACAAGTGCTACGCTACATGGAGTCCCAGAGTTGGGGCGTGCATAGCCTCCTAATACAAGGACACCCAGAGAACCTCCCGCTTGAGCAATCATTCTCTTTGGCTCTGATTGAAGCGGACGGTTCCCTCAGGGCCACTCCTGGCTGCAATTGAAACTACGCCCCTGGATGACACAAGCTAGCACGGAAAGAGGCATGTGCCAATGCGACGGGTTTCAGTAGACTGGGGTGGTTGGCGGACGTCATCGCACGTCCCTGTCCGTTCTGGCTTGCCACAGGACGTCTGCAGCAACTGGCAACAGGCACACGCGGCGTCATGCAAGCTGTGCAAATTAGCCACTGTCCACTGCCATCCCGGTTGCACACTGCTGGAGAGCAGCAGTCAAGACACGCTTACATATGCTTGACTGGAGTATGGTAAGGTTGTCCTATGTTCATCCTGGCATCACCATCTGGTTTGCACTGCATGCACGCCACGAGCCCGAAACTGCGAAGCAAGTCTTCGGAAGTCTGCGCCCAGGCGCAGGCACTCGATGTGGCCTTGATTCTTACATGAAATTCGGCGTGCTCTTCTGTCACTGACGGTTCCATGCGCTGCAGTTCGTGGTCGGCCATGCCTGTCAGCTTCCAGCAGCTTCCACAACAAAACCTAGCCTGCCTAGGCTGCCTAGCCCACAAGTGCGGATGGTTTCCTAAATCAAAATGCTCGTTCCCAAAATTATGGGCCCTCCGGGTCACAGAGTATGTTACGGCACGTGATATC